TTTTGGATCTCACCGTTCCTGTCTCAACTCTCTTACTCGAATTAGAAAAGGTAGTCAGGGGGTTGCAACTAGATTTCGTTCAAAATTACCTCACAAATCGCTCCCAGACTGTGAGGATGGATGATCACAATAGTGATGAACTCCTAGTCTATTACGGCGTACCACAAGAAAGTATATTATGTCCCACACTATTCTTAGTGTGTGTCAACGATCTATGCAACCTTAATTTTCCAAATGCTAAGATTATATTATTTGCTGATATGCAATAACATTCGTTGCCGAAATCTGGTCTGTACTTAGGCTCAAGGCTCAACTTGGCTTCGACCTTATAACAAGTTAGTTTTGTTCCCACACGCTAACCCTTAATGCCTCCTAAACTAAATTTATTACCTATTCTGTTACTTCAGTCTCCCAACCAAATTTACCAATATCTCTTAAATCCCACTCTTGCCACAGACATACTCAGGTCTCTTGTCAATGTCCAACCATATCCTCTGTTGACCATATTAAATACCTAGATATAATCTTAGATAAAAACCTAAATTTTAAAAGCTACCTTAATCTTCTCACTGGCAGAGTCCGTAAATTAATTTACATTTTTAAAACCCTAAGAAGTAATGCTAACCCTACTATTTGTTATACGTAAAGTTTATTTCGCCCTATGCTTATCCATTATTACATACTATATTTCTTGCTGGCGTGGTGCTGCTAAAACTAACCTAAAGAAGCTGGAGGTGGCACACAGAGCCATTTTGAAAGTGGCTACTTTCCGGCCTATCATTTTTCCAACTACAACATTTTATTCTGCAAACAGTTCTAATGCAGCACCGCTAAACACCTTACAGGGAAATAAGTAAACGTCGAAAAGACATAATTTGTTCTCTTCTACAAGTTCACTCATCATTCACAAAAAGATTCTTTTATTTCCTGGGTCCGTCTCTTTATCACAAAATAAGCGAAAAATGTCATGGGTTATCATTATATAACTGCAAGAAGACTGTCCGCTCATACCTTCAAAACACATCTTATGACGAAACAGAAAAATACCTGAACTGACTGATTATAAAATAACTAACCTGATTTATCTACTCTCTCACATAAACACACACATGCACACGCAAACACACACGCACACAGACGCATACGCACGCACACACACACAAAAACACACGCACACACTTACACACGCATTCATTTCTCAACTTTATAATTATAATTTGAATAACTAGAAATTGATATTATTGTAGCACTTTTAACTGTATGCATGTAATTATTATGTACATAAAATTATGGGCATTGAGACTGTTACTCCTTAATACAGGTTATTCTGTAACCTAGCTAGGAGTGCAGAGCTACATCCACTAGATTTATGGACATATTTTATAGATAGTACAAACAATGTAATGTCAAACCCATGTACTACAATCGCTTTAATATAAATAAAGTTATTCTTATCCTTATCTATGTTTCGATGAGAGGATGGGCGATAGATAGCTATTATACAAGTATGATTCGGCAATTTAGCAATTAGACAGTTTGTATCAAGAAATGGTGGTTCTATAATATCGCAGTAATTGAGACTTTGACGTATATTACAACTCCTTCGTTTTGAGTATTATGTTCTAAAGTATGATAGCATTTATAGTGCTTAAGAGCCGGTGGATCTGAGTTAACTTTCAACCAACACTCCGTGAGTACTATTATATCTACGTTTATGTTTAGACTTGTTATATAGTTAGACTCGACCATAGCTTCTTTTCGGCCTAGATTTGATTCTGACTGGTCCGGAATTTTAGTAGCATACGTTAAGATCCTCAGTTGACTGATTTCGGTGAAAGCCGTACTGGTGGTCACTGAGGAGGTCATTATGTGTTAAGTATACCATGAAGTGGGCTTTCAATATACGGTCTGTAATCTTACAGAGTATGGAAGGCAATTGAAATTGACCGACAGTTGGCAGGTTCGGCACCGCTGCCTTTTTAGTTTAACATTAACATTTTAACAGTTTTAGACAGAACTTATTATATTACCAATCTCAAACAAAGATGTCCACAGATGTATATCAAACCTTAAGGTTTGATATACATCTGTGGATGCTAAGATGAAATGCCTCTATACTCGTATCTGTAATTATATCATTTCTCTCACCCTACAAATCTGAATGCAGCACTAGGTGCGCTTCTGTTTTTCGTAAAATATATTTTGAGGAGTTATATAAATAGAAGCGTTGTCAAAATATAAATTTTAGTTAAATGACCATAATTTTTTTATTGAATAGAAAGAGACGTTTATGAAAACTAATAAGGATAAAAATAAATCAACTATATATAGTTAAACTGGATAGACGAATAAAAACAAATAAATAATTAAAGTATTAAGACGATTTTCATAACTTTAATTACATTATACTTTGATAACTGTTAGAAATATTGAAATGTAAAAAGTCGACGTGTGGGTAAATAATTCACCGTCCTAGACCAGCCCATAATATGTTTATAGCAGAAGTGGAAAGCGATCTCTATTATTAGATATAAAATTACAACAAAACACTGTTTCGAACTCTGGCATTAGTTTCCTGTTGAGACTCCCTGGGTAAACATAAAAAGACGGTATTTTTACTACGTCACATTTGTGATTGTAAGAATATATCAAGAATAATTCATTGGAAGTAATTGAAAGAAGACTATAAAGGACTTGGGCGTGACTCGAACTTTAGACCTAGTCAGTTTGAATAGCCTATCATGTAGAGGATGTCATGGGTCATAGGGGCAAAAAGTTCTCATTACACTCCTAGGGGGTCAAAATGGCCAAAAACAAAAAAAAACTTATTTCGGCTATAACTTCGCCTCCTTCGGAGGTTCTTACACAGTCTTTACTTCCCGCATCCCATTAATTGAAAGTAAAGACTAGAGATGAGTTGGGGGGTGGTTCGAACTTTAGGCCTAATCAGTTTGAATAGCCTATCATGTAGAGGATATCATGGGGATCATGATTGGATAGGGGCAAAAAGTTCTCATTACACTCCGAGGGTGTCCAAAATGGCCAAATACAAAAAAAAATATAAAATTCTTATTTTGGCTATAACTTCGCCTCCTTCGGAGGTTCTTACACGGACTTTACTAACCCGCATACCATTAATTAAAAGTAAAGATTAGAAATGAGTTGGGGGGTGGCTCGAACTTTAGGCCTACTCAGTTTGAATAGCCTATCATGTAGAGGATGTCATGGGGGTCATAGGGGCAAAAGTTCTCATTACACTCCTAAGGGGCAAATAGGCAAAAAACCAAAAATTTTAAATTCTTATTTCGACTATAACTCCGCCTCCTTCGGAGGTTCTTACACAGTCTTTACTTCCCGCATGCCACTAGTTGGCAGTAAAGACTAGAAATTAGTTGGGGGATGACTCGCCCTTTAGAAATAGTCGGTTGAATAGCCTATCATGTAAAGGATATCGCGGGGTTATGGTTAAATAGAAGCCAAAAGTTCTCATTACACTCCTAGGGGGTCAAAATAGCCAAAAACCAAAAAAATTAAAATTGTTATTTCGGCTATAACTCCGCCTCCTTGGGAGGTTCTTACACAGTGTTTGCTTCTCGCATCCCACTAGTTTAAAAATATTACAAATGTAGAAACACTGTACTGTTGAAACAAAACAAAAGGAATTATAAAATATGACTAATGCACGTAGATTGATTTAGATTTGGATTGGGAATAAAAAGTATAAAGGCCGGATTGAACCGGGTACAATCTCTGAAGAAACCAGTTTGAAAGAAATATGTTTTACTTTGACGCTTACCAGGAAAATGTTACATCAATTTATCGATTTAGTTTCTTTACCTCTATTTGTTAACAAAATCCAGATGTAGGTTATGGTTGTTATTGGGTTGGTATACTATTTTTTTACCTCGGCTTTATAAGTTTTGGACTTATATCAAGCTTTTAAAAGAAGGCGAACACACCTGAATATCACAAAGCTCTATTACATGTAATCTAATCTTTATCTAAGCTGGATTACATTTACATGTACAAACTGAGTTAAAGGATGGACTGATAGACAAGCAGAAACCAGCCTACTGATATGATGTAATAGCACGCGTTTTTAAAATTAAGGTACAAATACTATATAATACCAAGACCGCATGCTCGTTTCAGTTTCCCCCTGTCGCCTCTTACAGATATACGGAACACACGGGTGCAGGCACTGCTGCATGGCGACAGATAAGAAAATGGTACAAGACATCTTTTAAAAAGGTTTTTGTTCTTAAGTCATAATTAAATAATATTTTTAAGCAAATTGGAAACACAGATGTACCTTAAGTAAATTTAATATTTCATTAAGAGCGGCAACGCAGTTTTCTTTAGGCACATCTAATTGAACCAGACGGCCATAATTCAACCTTCACCTAATAATGTGTCTACATTAAGTTTAAAACTACTAAAGCAAAATAATGAAATGATCGTGTTGTAGCTAAATTAGTAAATGTGTATGTTTGATTTTCACATACTTTATAAAATGATGTAAGGAGTTCGTTGTATTATTTATTGTATGGAACCAGATGCCACCTTGTATATTTCAAGTTTTATATTTTTTCTCTAAAAGCCTGTGCTCAGTATACAAAAAAGGGCGTTGCAATTCCTAGGAATAGAAAATACTTTTACTTCACTTAAATATCCGACAATATATTGAAGTGAAGCAAATGAGAAACCGACGTTTACAGTTATTGACAAGTAACTATGAACTTCGGTTTCTTATTTTACTGAACAGCTTATTATCGATTGCTTTCAACAAATATGAAAGTATTTTTGTAGACTTTAGGGTTTAGAGGCTAAGAGTTTTGGCAACAAATATTACACATCTGTTGCATAACAATTATTTTTTAGTGATATAAAGTATTTTCCCTTCAACACCTTAGTCTACGTATCTTGCTTTTTATAATATTTAATTTTATAAACGCATTTTTACATTTGTTTTTATATCATGATAAATAAAATAAACTCACCTCTCTTGCGTCAGCATTATCATCAGCTATGGGTTCTTCATTATTGTTAACCATAAACAAGTATCTTTTTTTCATCAACTTAATTAGATGTTTCCCTGTTTGCTCATCAACAACTGTGTTAGTGCAAACGAAGCTTGTAACAGCACGTGAGTGTTCGTCGACTTCTAGAAATCCTTTGGTCTGCATGTATATGAAGTTTCCACTCTTTGTGAATAAGCGGTAGAAAGATTCTCCTTCAAGTCGATTGTGATTATACACTGTAGAAACAAAACAAAAAGAATGAATGAATGAAACGAATTATAAAATAAAAATAAATATAAATATAAAATTATAAAATGACTAATGTACGTAGATTGATTTAGATTTGGATTGGGAATAAAAAGCAAAGGCCGAATTGAACCAGGTACAGTTTCTGAAGAAACCAGTTTGAAAATAATTAAAAATTAAAAATTTTGTACAGCCGACTTCAATATGATTTATTAAGAATAACTCATAAAACTATTGGTCAGACCTTGATCAAGTTCATATGGGACCACACGAGAAGTACCAGCTTTCAAATAAAAAAGCATCATACAAATCGGTTTACCCAGTAAAAATTTATGAGGCAACACACATATGAAAAACATACAGTCGAATTGAGTACCGTCTCCTTTTTGGGAGTAGGCAGAAAATATGTTTTATTTTGACGCTTACCTGGAAAAAGTTACATCAATATTTCGATTTAGTTTATATATGGGTTCTTTACCTTGGTTTGTTACCCGGGTTATTCAGATATTAGCTATTCAGATATAGGTATTGGTTGTAGTTTGGGTGGGTAGACTGTTTTTTGACTTTGGCTTTATAAATTTTGGACTTATATCAAGCTTTCAAAAGAAGACGAACCGATCTATTCACCACAAAGCTCTATTACATGTAATCTAATCTAAATCTAAGCTGAATTACATTTACATGTACAAAATCAGATCAAGGACAGACTGATATACAAACAGAAACGAGCCTACTGCCATGATGTCATCGCACGCGTTTTTAAAAGTAGGGTGCAAATACTGGTGACCTTCCTCACCAACAAAACATGTTTTGATGAGACATGTTTGGTATACAAAACGCGGTTTGTTCCACATACATTGGTTATTACGGTTGACAGAAGTTGAGCGCAAGTCAAAGCAACGAGGTCATATCTGACGAGACTGTCACCAAGAACATGATCCACAGACCTTGCGGAGCACTAAAATAAATGGCTATCCTAAGTAAAGAAACAATATTACGTATATATTAAACATTTTAAGACTGCATGCTCGTTTCAGTTTCCCCCTGTCGCCTCTTACGACACCAACGAGACGATATGGAGAAGTCGATATTCTTACACCGCCACTACACGGATATAGGCAGCAGCATCTTCCTGATTACAACTCAAAATTATAAAAAAATGTGAGTGCCATCCCATTTTCCAAGCATGGCAACTATGGCAAAATCCCCCCTATGAGGCTATCTATTCGGGTGGCTATGTACAGCATTGAACTTTTATAGGCTGCGTATATGCCCCCATTTTTATCAAAAAAAAATACTGAGTTCGGTTGCTGTTGAACGTTCAGATGAATGTTCAGAGCCCAGTACGTTTTCAGGCACTCAAAACTGTTGACTAGCAGGAGAAAACCACGTCTACGAAGTATGTGAGACGACGGTACTTTTGGAAGATGGCCACTAGGAGGTAACAATGTAAGATGATTAATTGTGCCGCTCAGTGTCCAAGTTATCTCGACTAGTTAGTAGGAAGTTATATGGTCTCTCGGACCCTTTGCAAATTTTGGAATAGAAATAAAACTGCTTCACCAGAACATATTGCAACAGTATCTGGAGAAAGCACAGGCCAACGACGATATATATTTTAACGAAGCTGTGAACCTTAATGAGGACAAAGTTTGCTCGATAGCGGCAGTGGTAATAGCTAATAGCAAAATTTGTCCACTGATTAACTCAAAATGAATATTGCGATAAAATATTAAATGTAAATTAACAAAAGCCGCAATGTAAAACTGGCTTACCGAGTATAACATAACATGTGTAAGGTTTGTTTTCTATAAAATTGAAAAACGAACTTACAGTTCAAATGAAGGCTACTGCCATGGACCTGCAACCAACTTCAAACAAAAAGGGCTACAGATGCGTTGTCACATCGAAGGAAAGAACATGGAATGCTTTACTGCTTGTAAACATACTGACTCTTCATACCGTTCAGCGGGTGCAGGCGCTGCTGCATGGCGTCAGTAATTGAAAATGGTACAAAAATAACTTTTAAAAAGGTTTTTTTTCTTAAGTCATCTTTAAATATATATATATATATATATATATATATATATATATATATATTTATATATATATATATATATATAATATTTTTAAGCAAATTGTAAACACAGAAGTACCTTAAGTAAATTTAATATTTCATTAAGAGCGCCAAAGTAGTTTTCTTTAGGCACATCTTATTGAACCAGTCGGTCACAATCCTTCTACATTCGCCTAGTAATTTGTCTACATTAATTTTAAAATTACTAAAGCAAAATAATGAAATAGTCCTGTTGTAGACAAATTAGTAAATGTGTATGTTTGATTTTCAAATACGTTATTAAATGATGTACGAGTAAGGAGTTCGTTGTATTATTTATTGTAAGGAACCAGATGCAGGGATGGTAGATATGATAAGGATATAGAACGACGAGTGAATGCAGGAAATAGAGTGAATGGGGCTCTACACTCTATTGTGAAAAGTCAGAATGTGTCCAAAAAGGCACGTATGGCAATTCACAATGCTGTGTTAGTACCTACTTTAATGTATGGTAGTGAAAGTTGGGTGTGGCAGAAGAAGCATGAGAGTAGAATAAATGCTGTAGAAATGCGGTCATTAAGGAGTATGTTAGGGATGAAGCTGAATGACAGAGTGAGAAATTGTTTAATAAGAGAAGAGTGTGGTTTGCAAGATGATATTGTGACCAGGATTAAGAAAGGAATGCTTCGGTGGTTTGGCCATGTAGAAAGAATGAATGAGGAAAGAGTGACAAAGCAAATTTATGTTGCAGAGGTGAACGGCATAGTCGGGAAGGGTGGCCCTAGGCGAAAGTTTATCGACCAAATTGGCGATATATTAAAAATGGGCCAAATCAAGAGTACCTTTAACCGACGAGCGTGTATGCGTAGGTATATGGATGTGGAGGAAGCGAAAGAGGTGTGTCAGGATCGTGCCAAATGGAAGTCCATAATCTCTGCCTACCCCTCTGGGTGACAGGCGTGAGTGTTTATGTTTATGTTTATGAACCATATGCCACCTTGTATATTTGAAGTTATATAATTTTTCTCTAAAAGACTGTGCTCAGTATACAAAACAGAAGTTGCAATTCCTAGGAATAGAAAATGCTTTAGCTTCACTTAAATATCCGACAGGATATTGAAGTGACGTTCACAGTTATTGACAAGTAGCTATGAACTTCCGTTTCTTATTTTAGTGAACAGCTTATTATCGTTCACTTTCAATAAATATGAAAGTATTTTTTGTAGACTTTAGGGTTTAGAGGCTAAGAATTTTGGCAACAAATATTACACATCTGTTGTGGCCAGAATCGAGCTAATGTCTTAATTATTAAAAAAATATGAAAAAATAAGTATTAACTGCAACCATGATATATTATGTTATAGACGGTATATTATGGTTGTAGCTGATTCTGTGTAACTGGGGTCTCAAAATCGTACACGTAAAATTGAAAAATCTTCTAATAATCACTGACAGACTCTTGGCGATAATTATCAATATATTTTCGGGGGATAATATATTGACCTTTTGAGATTTGGATTGAGATTGATTAACATAATGACTGACCTACAGGAACGACTTTCTGCGGATGCGATGAACCTGTTCCGGATTAGGCATTTTTATCCCGAAATCAGATTTATTATTGATCCCCTGATGATATTGTTATTAGTGACCCCCTCCCAAATTTCAGGATGCGACCGCGCCTGCTTAAAGGTGCTATAAAAAAAGACTGGCTTTGTTTGAACTCAAGGAATTGCAAACTTTTTAAATTATTGCTTCGTATTGGAACTCAAAAGCGATCTTTCAGTGAGTTTTGCAGTTCACAACTCTTTGTGAATTGTCTCTAATGATAAAGTTGCACGAAGTGAGAATCATCGCGAGAGTACATTATTTAATAAAAAAAAATATTTTACTAATAGAGTTCTTTAATATGTTACTAATTTAATAGAACTGTACAATAGTAGTAGTGACGTCACGTTCTATGTAATCAATAAACATAATATAATATGTGCGTACTTTTAAAAAATTACAAAAATAACTTAAAGCGAAAAATCATTTATTAAGATTACAATAAATGAAGTAATTTATTAATGTTGGCATTAACTATATTATTATAAACTAGCTGTTCTCCGTGACTTCACCCGCATATAATTTAGTGTTTTTATTATGCTACGCGGAACCCTAATTCTTTTTCTACAATATAAGTAGCCTAAGTTACTTCTTATAACACTGCCAGTGAAAGTCCCGTCAAAATCGGTCCAGCGGTTTCGGAGATTAGCCGGAACAAACAGACAGACAAACAGACAAAAATTAAAAATTGTGTTTTTGTTATAAGTACCGTATATACTTTCATATGCATTTAATAAAAAGCTAGTATTTTGACATTACAAACAGACACTTCAATTTTATTTATATGTATAGATAAGAAGAACCAAAACATTTATTTCTGATTATCTGAATCAAAAACTAGACTGTCGTATATATGGATATTTGGTATGGTTGTCACGTTTGGCAGGCGGATTGTCGTCCGCAGGTTTTTATTTTCTAGATGTAACAATTCTGTCGTCTCTTACGACACTCACCTGGTGATATGGGTTAGTGGGTATTCTCATACCGCCGTACTGGGCGGCTCACTGCACGATGCCACCTAAAGTTCATGCTTTTACTTATTTTTGAAAATGTACAAAAACATGTGTGAAATTGTTAATACATTTTTTAATTGTTATGTTGAGTTTCGTAGTGACGGTGCGTACACATTATATAACAAAGCATGTTATAAAACCTTGTTATATAACATGTTTCAGTAATATGGATGCTGAATGTTATAAAGCGTGTTATATAACTCAAACAGCAGAACGACAAACGACAATGTTATACGACAATGTCGTATAACATTGTTATATTGCATTGTTGTTCTAATGTGTACAGTATTGTTATATGTTGCAATGTTGAAATACAATGTTACATAATGTGGACGTGTTATAAAACGTTATACAACATGTTACTTAACTGTATGCACTCTTACAAACGATAGTTACTCTCATCTGCATTTTGGATCTTACTCGAGGATAGATGTAGGTGTCTATGAACTACAGCATCCAGTTATCATGAGGTGGAATGTGTGCTCATTTGCCATATTTATTTTAAATTTTCTATAAAAAAATTAGTACATTACATTTGTCGCGAGCAAAGTTGTTATCAAAGGCAATAACAATTAAGACAACTGTGCGATAGTCAGACCGGTCACTGGTAAACAAGTGCATCGGAATCACCAGTTAGGTACGATTAAGATTATTTATGTATTTTCAAACATACACAAGTCAAGGTCACATGAGTCAATTGGTGATTAGCGTATGTCTATTGCACTGTATATTTCATTTACATTGCAATGAATATCAATTATTTAATTAAAAACTTTAACACATAACGTGTTAAAGTTTTTCATGAGACAACATCTTTTTTATGCAGAAGGAACAAAAATTTAAAAGAAATTACACGATTAGAAAAATGTAAGACAGATAATAAATCGGAGTAAAAGTTTTATCGTATTTTGTTTGTATAAAATTGAAGAAAAATCTCTGCCTGTTTGTATATAGCTGATTGTAACATGAAGAAAAAGAATAACAAAAAAATAAAAAAAAAACGCTTTTCCGCTATTTTTCAATTGTTTTTCTATCCACCAATGAAGAAATTCGATACATTCTGAAGTGTTAGTTATTATATAAAAGGGAAAAATGCGATAGTCTCAAGCCGTGATAAAAATATTTGACGTTTATGGACCTAATGCAGTGTCAGTAAAAGCAATACAAAGTTGCTTCAAGCGTTTTCAGTGCGGGAATTTTGATGTGAAAGATGAAATGAAACGATGAATGATTTTTGACAAAGTGGAGCAATATCGCGTAGCATATTAGTAATTATGACATATCTGAAGAATTTAGAATTGACCACAAAACAGTTTTGATCCATTTGAATAAGTCTGGGTACACAAAAAACGCGATATTTAGGTACAACACGAGCTCACTGAAAGAAACCTAATGAATCGTGTACTGATTTGTGATTCTCTATTGAATCGTAATGAAACCGAATCATTTTTAAAAGATTGATCGCTGGTGATAAAATTTGGGTCACCAATGACAAAAAAGTGCGAAAAAGCTCATGGTCAAAGGGTAGTGAAGCGCCACAGACTGTAGCAAAACCTGGATAAACACGCAATAAGGTAATGCTGTGTGTGTGGTGGGATTGGAATGGCATCTTTTATGAGCTTTTACCTGGATCTCTACTGTCGACAATAATGACACTCAAGCAAGAAATTGATAAAAAACGGCCGGATTCATCAGCAGAAAAGAAGTGGTCTTTCGTCATGATAACACCAGACCACACACATCTTTGGCCACTCAGTAAAAATTGAGAGAGCTTGGTTCGGAAATGTTAATACCTCCACCTTATAGTCCTGACCTTGTAACTTCAAATTTTTACCTGTTTTGGTTTCTTCAGATTTCTTTGGGTAATGTTAGGTTAACATCAATAGAGGACTTTCAAAACTACTTGTCGCATTTTTATATCAAAAATCCTAAGATTTCTACAACAACGGGATTATGTCCTATTTTAATCTAATTAGACAATTTTTACTTAAATTTGCTATTGGATTTTTTATTGTATTCTAATTAGACTGACTAAAGTAAGTTTGAAGATAATTTTGAATGTTTTTAGAATTTTTGTATAATTACGTAGGTGGAAAATTAGAATTTTTGTTAGTTGAGATATTTCAACAATATTTGTCTCAAAATATAGGTTTCGATCAAGGACTAATATTCCAATTAGAGTTATGAAAATCGGATAACCCGTTTACAAAATATGAGCAAAATTGTAAAAGAGAAACGTGAAAACATGTATTACCTATTTAAAGTTTATGTTCTAGATTTTTTTAGTTATTGTAGTTATATAAAATATTGTTGTTTTAGATAATAAAAGGATACATAAGGAAGTAATAAAAATAATAAGGTTTAGTGGTATAATTGTATTTATTATAAGTCTTTTGTCTCCGCTCTCCCGCAAATTGAAACAAAAAATAACTGTCTTCAATAAAAAAATTGCAATACTCCCAGTGTTAATTAAATAATATACTATTTTCATAAAATTATATTTCAATAAAATTCATAAAATAATTATTCTCGTTTACGAAAAATACTTTGAATTAATACCTGAGTCGTTTTCTTTTCCAGATATAATGTTAATTGTGCTTATTACCGAGGTGAGATGTCAGATATTACACATCTGTAAGGGTGCTTATATAAAGAAACAGGGTTCCGGTACAGACAAATCTGTGCTGGTCGGTACCGGTCGGTGCATGTATAATTATAATTCTATGTTATCTTATGCGGTCACATTTAAAGAAACATGTTTAAACTTGTCGGTACCGACTACCTGTACCGAGCCATACGGGTTTAAGCGTTTGCCGGTGTAGGGTGTATATGTTTATGAAAATGAATGTGGATAAGTTTTGATAACCTTGGTATTTGATAAACAACCTTTATAGGACAAAAGAAGTAAGTTCCATAGCAACAGAAATGTTACCGATAAGCGTTGTAAAGAGATTAGTTTGGAAATGAAACAGGATGGTAGGTACCTATAATAAATATAGATTTTTTTGCATATTTAGATTTTAATAATAATTAGGTATTGTACAACAAGTGATTATGTCTGAAATATTGAACAAAATTATTTCTGACGTTTGTAGCTACATTCGAAGGTGGGCTCAGTCTTTGGTTGTGCCATCTTTGCCGTACAAGATTTATAGGAGTCAAGTTTCTGTTAATATCCTCTTTATCATCTTTTAACTAAGCGATGTTCTATTTTATTTAATATGTAGTTAAATGTTTTTCATGCCATCCTGGTATAACCATAAAACTGGTGTTCACCAAACTTTGTCTTTTATAAATAAATGATAATATGACCCATATTTTTTCTCTTTCGGTTAATATTAGAGACACTAACTGTCCTTTTCTTTCTACATTTAAAATAAACATTTTCCAGAAGTAAAAAATCGTTTTGGAGACAATGGTTGTCAATAGAGCCAGGTTTACCTGTTTCTTTATATAGGCTAACCCTGCACCGATCGGTACCGACCAGCACATATTTGTTTGTACCGGAAACCTGTTTCTTTATGTAAGCACCCTAAGGCTCGCCCGTTTTTTGCTTGATATTAAAAAATATATCTCAAATTAGTTCAAGTCTATTCCTGTCATAAAGTTGTTATATTCTTATTAGTAGTATTAGTAGGAATAGGATTATCTCTTTACTTACTTTCCTGCAGCGCTGTTATAACACATCGAACATCATCTCGATGCATAAAATTCATTGCGTTGACCCCATTCACTTCGTGTGGCATATAGCCAGTCACGAGAGACATACGTGACTCACAATCGACGATTTTGCCATCAATGGTGTGCCTGGTGCGGTACTCCATTCGGAAAGATTCAAGGGTTTTTTCGCTGATAAATGCCTCGCTCGTAGGGCGTACTAATCCTACAAAAACCTGCAATTATAAAGATTCGTTAGACTCGTGTGTGTTTTTTTACATTTTAATAATTAAAACAACACGGAGCACTGGATCTCGCCAGGCGGATTGTGTTGTTAGACGAATCCCAAACAATACGACCATTATTATTGTGATTTCCTAGTTTAAAAAGAAGAAAAAACAATAACGTCATTAATGGTTTTTTTGTAAATTTGACGTGACAGATCTCTTTTTGCAGCAAAAATCTCAGCACTCCCCGTGGTAAATGCGAAAGAAAATGCAAAGAGATGCAACATCTCTTCGCAGCGCCAATGAGTAGAGCCGATCGGAAAGAACTCGGTCGTCGACGATTCGAGCCCTCTGCGCTGGATGCAATCAAGTGGAAGGAGCTGGCATTGAGGAGCCCCAGCCCAGAGATGGGAACAGTATTCCATGTGAGGCCGAAACTGCGCCTTGTAAAGTTGCAGGCGGTGTGCCGGCATGAAATACTGTCCAGCTCTGCTGAGCACGCCAAGCTTTTTAGAGACTAATTTGGCCTTCTCTTCCAAGTGACCACGGCTTTGAGTGGTTGCATTTTTTTAGAGATCGGCTGGACAAAAACTGTCTTCCATGATTTCGGGACTACGCCTAGGGAGCAGGAGCAGGAGAAAAGACGTGTTAGAACCGGTGCCAACTCCGGAGCACACGTTCTCAGCACAATTGGGGGGATTCCGTCAGGCCCACTCGACTTGTGGATGTCCAGGGAGAGGAGTGCTCTGCGAACCGAGCGCTGTGAGAACCGCACGTTCGGCATGGAGCACTCACACCGCGGGATGGTCGGCGGTGTGTTCTCCCCGTCATCAACAGTCAAGTTGGACGCAAAAAGGGAGCCTAAAAGGTCGGCTTTCTCTTTTGCGTCGTGGGCCAGTGAGTCGTCCTCCCTGTGCAGAGATGGTAGTGATGGCTTACAGTAATTCCCTTGGACAGCCTTGGCGAGAGACCAGAATGCACGGGTTTCCGAAGGAAAGCGAATTAGTTTCTCGCCAATTCTGCCTATGTGCTCTGACTTTGCCTTAGCAATAGCTCTTTTGAAGGACCTGGAGGCGAAGTTATACTTCTTTTAAGTATGCTGGTGTTTACATCTCGAAGCCGCAGCCCAGGCTTGATAACACTCCTGCTTACTGCGTAATGCAGTCTTACAGGAGCGACCAAACCAAGGCTGAGATCTGCCTCCGATGGGTACCACAGATGATGGAATAAATTGTTCCATTCCCTGTAGCACCACATCAGAGACAGAGTCAGCAACAGCGCTGGGATCATCCGGCGAGAAGCAAACCCGCCCTCATGGGTAGGAAGCAAAGAAAGACCGCATTCCGTTCCAATCCGCCGACCTGTAATGCCAAACACGGCGGCAACCTGCAGAACGCAACCGCGAGGGGAGGGCGAGTGGCACCACACTCCGGATCAGACAATGGCCCGAAGAGCCGAGAGAGGCATCGACAGAAACCTGATATCCGTCCGGATGAGAGTTCAACAGAAGGTCCAACAGGGAAGGTGCATGATCCTCCACATCTGGAATCCGCGTGGGTGAAGTAACCAGTTATTTCAGACCATATGCCAAGGCAAAGTCATAAACAGATCTCCCCGCATGATCGGTTAAACGTGAACCGAGCCATTCGGCGTGGTGGGCGTTAAAATCGCCAAAGATCACGATCTCTGCGGATGGAACCTGTTGTAGCAAGGATTCTGTAGCCATTTGAACGTGGTCGATGAGTCGGTATGTTTTGGCATTACCGCTATGGGACCTATAGAGGCACCCGTAGAGGCGCGGATGGTCGTCGCTGTCTACGCGTAGCCAAAGGATGGACAGGTCCGAACCTTCAAGACTGCCGAGGCGTTGAGAACAGATGTCCTCTCTGACGTATACGCAAACTCCAGCTCTAGGCACAAAGGAGTGCTCCAATTTGTACCCCGGGTATGAGAGATACGAAGTATCAGCCGGAGAGGACACCTGCGTCTCGGTCAGAAAGAGCAAGGCCGGCTTCGCCGTCTCGAGATGGTAGTGGACGGCGTTTAGGTTAGAGTGAAGTCCCCTGATGTTGCAGAAATTCACGGATAGCGTGGCAGGGGTCGCCTTGGTCATGTTGCTCAGTTTGCCCCGAGCAGTTATTGTATTGAGCGGAATTTTGCCCCGCCCCCTCCCAGAATACGCAGGGCAGCCTGAGCACCCACGCTCAGGAGTGGAATAGCATGGTCGTGGATTGTCAGCGAGGGATTCTCCAGAGTGCTGGTACCCTAGTCTATGATGTAATTCCGCTACCATGTTGATGGGGGGGGGAGGGGGGAATTGGGCCTCCGGTCACCTGTATTCACCAGACGAAAGAGCAGCTGCGTGGCTCTACCACCGTTGCTATTATATTTATAGTCTATGCTATTATATATATATATATATATATATATATATATATATATATATATATATATATTTATATATATATATATATATATATATATATATATATATATATATATATATATCTTTATATACAAAAATTACGTGTCACGTTGTTTATCCGCGATGAACTCCTAAACTACTGAACTGATTTCAATGAAATTTTGCACAATATGTGCAGTTTGGTCCAACTTGAGAGATAGGATAGTTTTTATTCCGATAAGTGACACGCAATTGAAGAGGGCAGAACAACGTCTGCCTGGCCAGCTAGTATATATATTATGACTGCTACACAGTATTTCTAGTGCCTTAGATAGAGAACTGCCTTAGATTACTTGTTCTATTTGTTTATTATTATTGAAAATTAGACAACTAGCGATCCGTCACCAGTGTATACCTAATACATTAGCCATAGAATCACAATTCTCATTAAAAATAAATTTTTGAATAATATCCAGTAACTTGCGTAACTTAGATTCCAAAATATTGACCTAATTAGCAACAGGTGCATTGTAACTAACACGGATCCGATCATTATCTCAATTGCTTGAGTCATTCAGGACAAACAATAGCGTAATAAACATCATTTTTTCTACACTAGCGATGTTTTGAAATGAAATTAAACATGTTTATTTCTTCAACGTAGGAACAGAATCATAATAATAATATTCGTTCCTTCATGTTTGTACCTACTTATGCACAAAATGCTATATCCAGAAATCACCCGCCATACGGGTGATTTCTGGATATCGACTATAGCGAACTATCGGGTCCAAATGTGAATCTAAGCCATACAGGGACCAATTCAAACACCAAAAAATTTATCAAAATCGGTGCCGGATTTGAGTTTTTGAGATAGCATTTGATTTTGATATGACAGAGAAGAGGTGAGTAGGCGTACGTCTGTCTTCAATTTTCTTGGTCGATTACTTTAAGTGGCGAGATGGTACTGACTCCATATAAATATTCGGTTGTAGTGTCATGGACATTAATAAACATCCAAATTTAATATGCTGAAGACTGAATTCGAAATGAATAATAATTATTGTTTGTAATAAAATGTCTTCAATTTGTATATAAAAAACGAAGTAACTTTTTCCCCGACCTATTATGTATTAAACACAGTGGAATGAATTGGAATATTAAAATTCACTCTAACAGATATCACAAAACTATATTTAATAAAATTGTACTTATTTTCTTTAATTACCTTGCAACTGAGAATAAAGAAAATTTGAATCCTTTCCCGACAAAAGTCGTGGTGGTAGCGTATTTTCTCGCTTATTTGCCGGCGCCTAAATGGTGAACGTTTGAACACGACCAAATGTCTGAGCCACTATAATATCTCATTTTAATATCTCCTATTAGGCATCTTTACCCTTCTCCTTTTAGATCTTTCACAGAGGTTTAGAAGCAGGTTAGGAACACCTAGTATGGCTAGGTGTTCTGTTACACATTAGAGTGCATATATTTTCTATGAATACCGTATAATAGAGTACGTGAGGGTAATATGGTCATCCAGTTAATATGGTCACTTTCTTATAACTCACAAACTACAGTCTAATTTGCATAGATGGCTTTGTGATACGATAGCTCTTCATCAGTCATTAAAATAATAAAGGGTCAAAAGGCCGCCGCTTTATCGACGCCATTTTGACGGTTGATATTATAGTAAGTACGTGAGGGTAATATGGTCACCTTAAGCTATATCGCTCTATAAAACCAAAATTAGGAGGAAAACAGAGACAAAAATACAAAGTCATATACTATAACTAATATATAAAGAAAAACAATAGCAAACAAGCATTGGAAATAATTAGGAACACTTTGAAAAATACTACACTACACAATACAAAAATCGACTAAAATATTTACAATAATATCAATTGTCAACATGGCGTCGATAAAGGAGCGCCTATTTGACCCTTTATTATTTGATAGACTGATCAAGAGCTATCGTAGCACAGAGCGTTTTATGCAAACGACGCTGTAGTTTTTGAGTTATAAGAAAGTGACCATATTAACCGGATGACCATATTACCGTCACGTACTATAGTTAGTTTTTATTAAGTTGATTTTTCGAAATGTTGCTAATTATTGCCAAGGCTTGTTTGTTATTATTTTCTATCTTAGTTATAGTATACGACATTGTGTATTTGTCTCTGTCCTCCTCCTAATTTTGGTTTTATAAGACTGCAATGCTTAAGGTGACCATATTACCCTCACGTACCTTACTACTTATTTGTATATTTTGAGGCAAGCCTAAGAAATATAGATGGATTGTGTCTGGGATGATTTTATACGTGGTAGAGTCATGCTACAGCTATATTAGTACTATAGTTGTAGCACAAATGGGTCGGCACGACCACGCTCTGACAGAATACCAACGTAAAATAGCAGCTTAAAGCTGTGGTTTCGTATGGTGAGTGTAAAGAACCGGCGACCCTTTTTACTGGAAAAAAGGCATTCCATCTTAGTCCTCACGGGTGACAACACATCTGCATTTTGATTCTTTATTGCGGATTGATGAAGATGTCTATGGGTCACTGCAACCACTTACCATCAGGCGGACTATGTGCTCGTTTGT